GGGAGCAAGAGAATTCCCCGATAAGAGAGGAAGAGCTCGAGATGGGCGACGATAACAATAATAGCGTGGAGAACGGAATGGAAGGTGCGCCATGAAAAAAGCCATAAGATGCGTGGCCTTTATTGTCACTTGATGAGATCCTCATCTATGTGTGGGTATACGTATGGTGAAGCAGATACGAGGAAGAATGAACTTTCTTTCTGTGTTTGTACACATACATTGTGCATACAGACATTATAATTGTTATTTGGCTGCAGTTGTGATTCGGAAAATTGCATTTTTCAGACTACCAAAACTTTGTTGCAACATAATTCAGGGTATTTTTTCACTATCAACGACACAAGGTGATAATTATGGCATAACGTAGATGACGTACGTGTATGTTTACCTACATATAAGACGCATTTTTATTCATAGTCACGACATGTTTATGTCCATCACCTGCTTTATTTGAATTTTTAAGATTCCACATATGATTTATATTCGTTCAATACATTATTTGGCACAATAGTAAAAGTTTTTTCCACTGGTTGTCCGGATGTGGAGCGGATTACCATACGAAGGATCTGATGCTATGGTCTGACTCGTTTGCATTCAAAGTCGAAGGTTTCGGTGCCTTTTTTGTTTCAAGTCCGAGACAATCGTCTTCCTTTCTTTCTAGTTAGTCGAGTGGAAACTTTGCGTGCGCCCAACCTTGGATTATCGATTCAAGGAAAATAAAAGCTGGTGCGAGACTATCAAATGGTTGGTTTTTTTTAATCCTAGCTGTTTTTCAAAAGCGTGTTTTCTTGGGAAGTTGATTTTAAGTAAGTGACAGTTTGCATACATTATAAACTTTCTTTGTAAGGGCACTTAGGAAATCATTGAAAATTCCGGCAGTGAAACTGTCAAAGACAATTTTATTTAGCTTCTACAGCCAAATATGAAAATGATCGTTACTTTAATCTCATAGCATAAAAAATCTTCGTAGCACAAGATAGGTGTACTTTCATGTGACTACTAAGTATGGCTGTTAAAAATTTCTGTAGGGGAAATACATTGAGAAATCGATACGGAAAGCTTTAAAAGTTTTTAATTTATCGAAACGTATTAATATCCAGAAAAAAAATCTATTTATAATCACAATTCTTGCCCAATACTGTGTAAATTTCGAAAAAATTGTCTGTCATCCGAAGGGGACGAAAATAGCGGTACATCTAAAATAGTACACCCGGCCATTAATCTCTTTTCCCCTACGCGATATATATTTTTTCAATATCCCCCCGCAGTTTTGTATAGCTGTTCTCTTTTTTTTTTTTTTTTTTTTTTTTTTTTTTTTTTTTTTTCTTCGCTTTATAGCCTTGCTCGGTTTTTCCCCTTTGTAAATTGTGATGATAAAAAATAGAAGCTTAAAAAAAAAATTAAAATCTAGCGGCCAAGGGATGAGAAATAAAGGTGTCCTTGCACTAAACAAAAAGCGGATGAATGAAAAGGACGAAGCATGTATTAATTACAGCTTTATCCGCGAGTATTTTAAAAAGTGTATTATTTACAATTCCGTAATGGGGAGAAAAAAAATTTTGTGTTTGAGGCAAGAAATATCACCGTGCCTTTCTCAGCCAATCCTTTTGCAAACATTTTTTTTCTTTTTTTTCCTTACTACCGTCTTTTCACAACTTTCGAAGGTTTTTTTTTTCTTCCGTTTCTCGTTGTTGGCTCGGATAAATACGCCCCCTCCCTCCGCGGCGTTGCTTACAAATGAGGGGAGATTTTTCTTTGACGTTTCGTTTGATAAAGGGCATACTCGGCAGGGGATAGTGGAATGCCGTTTTCCGGGGGAGGGGGAGCCGAGGATTTTTCATTCCACTTGGCATTTTTATTTTCGTTTTAATTAAAACCACCCAAATATATACACGAGCAGCGCATAGACGGCGAATAACAACTAAGCAAGACGAATTCGATACTTTTCGTGCATCAGTATTGGCTTAACAAAGATACCCGCAATGAATCTGAAAAGGCACGACCAACGATTCTGTGGGAAACCAAAAATTTATCATACGTAGAAATCGATCCCAAACACGAGTTAAATATTGACGTAGGACGAAAGTCGTGTTCTGCGTGTACAACGCGTAAACTGGGTACACAGGGTAAATAATTCATGGCCTCGTGAGAGCTTTGATCCCGATATAACACGCGTGTGTACACAGGTAAAAGGGACGGTTTGATTTTTTTTTTTTTTTTTGCTGTCTGATCACACCTTGACTGTTTCTACTTGCAAAGGTCTCTACTGTTTTACCCATATGTATTTCACGTTCCACCGCAAAGCGTACCCCAATGAGATGGAAAATTACATTACTCGCACGATATAGCTGCTCCTGAAAATTAACCATCAGCTGCCTACTACTCGTGGCTTCGGTCATTTCCACATGCATTGCAGTAAAGGTATTTTTGAAAACCACGTTTCTTTTTGTTACCGACAAAGGGAGATGGCGCATAATTCAGCTCAGTTAATTAATCAATGTCAACATAAACTTTCTGACGATACATCTCCGAGCAGACCGTAAGTGAAGTATGAAAAATCGCGGCAGTTACATTTTACTCGAAGGGTGGGAGTGTGAATACCGAGAGAAGCACGAGGTCAATTCCTCGACTCGACATTCGCGTTATTTTTCACTGATCATTATCAACTGGCTGTTTTGGTTTTCAACACTTGTCAATTGGCTGAAAAAACGATGATTTATTCAAGTACGTAAATTGACATTTTTCACATCGATTGTTCTTCGTTGGTGCTTTGAGTTCGGTCGATAAATAATTTGTGCGAGTAATTATACTTATCCATGCAGTGATGCAGACGCGATACAAATCAAAAGCAGATATAATATGCGTAAATCTTTTTGGCTTGAATTGTTAATTTTTAATTACATACGAGTAAGAGATTTTTTGACAAAATGAGGAGCATAATTTTTAAAAACAGTTGTCTCTTCCTTTCAGTTTTGAACAATAATACTTTTGACACACAATAATAATAAGTCACAAAAATTGGAGGCTTGGCGAACTATGAATACAAACAAAACGCGTGATCCTACCTATTCGATCAAATAGTTTATTTTCCTTCAAGTGCATAATCTCCCCAAAAGTGTCCTGGATCACGTATTTGGAAAACGAAAGCGAATACGTGTACAGAATATAAGCTCAATGTTCAAGATTTTTTTGTTTTTTTTTTATTTGATTTATACACGAGCATACAACTGAAGCTATTTTACGTGTAAGCTCAATGTAAATCCCGTCTTTCTTTCATAAATGTATCATTGTCGGGAGTATACTTTTGGGAAATCAGAACATAATATATTTGTGCTCCATCTATTTCTAATACTCTTATGAGCATCTTACACCTTTTTTACAAGCTTACCAGGTGCCAAACGTCGATTGCTTGTATTGTGGCATTGGTACTCGATATATTTTCAATGTTAACTATGGATTTAAATTACATATTTAAGCTTAAAAGTATCGCCTCGTACGGTTCAACACAGTATATATTTAATTAAAAAATTATTTACAGAGTATAAGGGTGAATGTAACGTAGAGAGACGAATTTGAAATTCAGCAACACACGATGGGTTCCAAGTATCGATAATGATGTGTATGACCAAGCATTATAATCGTAACTTTTTTTTTTTTTTTAATAAACAAGACGAAAGGGCCATACAAATTCTATCGAAATTAACGTGATTTTTGTAGTTTGTATCTTAAAAAAAAAAAAAAAAAAAAAAAAAAACAATTATATTTCATCCGTCCAAAAAATTGTTCTTCCTAGCTCGGCTTAATAAAGATGCAGATGAATAAAAAATCTACAGATATAATATACATATTCTATCAGTAATAAGTACACGGAAGCTGGTCATCCCTTTTCGCGACCCACCATCTTCTCCTATCGGTTCCTTCCTCGCATTAACTATTTAATTACAGCTGCGTTTACACGCACCCCAGCGTTGATTGCAAATTTTGCCCCTTCTCGTCACACGTATACACGTATCCCCAGGATGGCCGATACCTTCGACGTCATGTACCCATAGTTTCCACGGTTAATTTGATACCCCTGACAGGATATGCCTCCCGTACACCCCGGCATGTAAGACACCCAGATTTAATTTCCTTCCGTCCAAGATACCTATCAGTATACACATAATGTGCGTACATGTTGACATATATACATATTATGTACTTTACAAGGTGGGTAGTATTCGAAGATCGACAATAACGTGTATAAGTGTACACGCTGTACATGTGACGGAAATAGATGGGCGACGGGCGACTCTATCGAAAGATGAATCTATTTGGGTCGCCGCGGAGCGAAAAGCTCAAGGAGACACGCGTATATCGATGATTCATTCGGTTACCGTCGAGCTAATGGTCTCCAACTGATATACATCTCAGCTCCGTTTGGATGAAAAATTAAAAGAGATTTGATTTTCCGTGATCCAACTTTGCTGGGTGTCAAAAAAAATACGTGCATCAACTTTGTGCTATATACGCGCACGTATACACTTGTACCGAGAATTCCTTTCCGTTCGATTGCCGTGATTGAATTTCTAATTCGATAAAGCGTGCCCCCCCCCCCTCCGTCCGTCGATTGACCGCGGCAATTCGAGTGAAACTTTAGCCGTACGTCCGTTCGCTTTTTCATCCGTTGAGTATATGTACCATAAATTGGAATCAAAATCATTGAGCTTCAACAGCGATACTTTTAATATCGTTTTGAATTGGAAATTGATTAATTTCGTTGTTCGTCGATTGGAAATTTCGTGTATAGCTTCGCGCACAATTTAATCATCCGTAACGTGTTATACGGTTACTCTTGATATGAATACTAGTACCTCGAGAAGAAAAAAAAATGGTTGAATAGTTTTTTTCTTTCCTGCGCTCTTATACAGTAATTTTTTTTTTTTAATCTACAATTGTATAAAGTTTTATTGAAAAAAAAAAAAAAATAATAACAACAACAATAATAATTCTGTTTACAGAAAACGCAAGCCGCCTATGTTTCTCGAACGGCACGTGGTCGTCGGCTGACTACACGAGATGCACGGAAGTGAAGCTCATAACGCCGGAGACCGAGTCCGGAGTCGTGATGATGACGTTCCTGTATTTCATCGGCTACAGCATCTCCCTCCTGTTTCTCATCATCGGCGTCAGTATATACTTGTCCTACAGGTACGCGTGTTTGCGCTATCGATGCCGAGTCGTTTTTTTTTTTTTTTTTTTTTTTTTTCATTCACAGCGATTAGATGTTACGTTTTTTATTTTCCACTCGTCAACCGAAGCGTACTAGGTCGCGCCCCTCCCCCCCCCCTTCCTTTACGCGGAGAGCGCCGTTATACGTTTGTTTGACGAAGATTATCGAACGGAATTGCAAAGGGCTTTCTCTTTCTTAAAAAGGTTTTTTTTTGTTTTTTTACTCGGGTCAAAAGTACGCCCTTTACACGTAACGGCGTTGTTTAACAAAGATGTTGCGTGAAAACCCAAAAATTAATGCAGTGAATTGTTAAAAAGTACGTGTTGCGCTAAGCTTTAAGGGAGTTGTATAAAAAAAAAAA